GGACAGCGCACGGCCGGGACGGGGACGGCCCCGCGCCGCTTAGCGAGCGGCCGCCTTGCTGGAAAACTCCCTGCCCAAGAAAAACAAGCCCTGAAGCAGCCGGCTCCGAGAGGCCCGAGGCGGGCACCGGAGGATTACGGCATTTTGTAGGCATTTGGGCAACCCTTCTTTGCCAAGTGATTCCCTAGTGCTGCCTTGGTTATTTTCTCTATATTTCTTTCTGGCAAGGAGCTTCCTCAAGCTATTTCATTGAGTCTAAAGTTTCTGATATCGAAGTGAGCAGATTACACTAATGGAATGGACATCACATTCATGGAAAAGAGCACTCGTTCTGGAGCAGGTTTCATCTCACTGCCCAGGGGTGCTCTCAGTAGCATTTTATTCTCCAGATTTGTCTAGTCATCTGATTTAAAGTAAAAAACACTGCACCCGGGGGTTTAACAGAGCACTCTCAAACGGGGAGCTGGGAATGCACAGCCTTTCCCTGCAGCGAGCCCCACCGGCCCGCAGGTGCCGGTGACCGTCACCAAGGCGGCCGTGGGCAGCGCTCCGGGCCGCGTGCGCCCTTCCCGCGGGCACGCGGCGCGCTCCTCAGCTGTCGCTTCTCCCTCCTTGTGCGCAGGTGATGGAGACGGAGAGGATGATTTATCTCGTGACTGAGTACGCCAGCGGAGGGGAGATATTTGGTAAGTGCACTTATTGCATTCCTCAGTCAGATAACGTGCCTGGGTAGCGCAGCAAGCTGCAAAGAGCTGCCCTGCTCTCCTCTTTCAGCAGAGATGCCCTTCAGCCCGAGGACTTTCCATTGCCAAAAGGGGTAAAGAAATAGATGATAGCAACTTGATGGCAAACCAGCTTTTGCAACCTCTGTTTCTTCTTCGGGTTTCACTGACAGCTGGTGCAGCTCTTCCTTTATTCTGACTTGGGGGTTCAATATTGTAGAGGTAGTCATCCAGTTGCACGTTAATGTGGTGCAAATTCTTCACTTCCCGGCAAGTTTTGTACAGCCTGTTGACTCCAGGTAAGTGTTGGCATCTGTTAGTGGCTCTTACAGAAACAGGCTGGCCTGCTCCTCTAGGATATTGTAGTCTCAAAGCCACCTGTTTGGTGACATTTTTGTATTTGGCGCTCCTGGAGCGTGTGTTAGCTGCAGCCGTTTGCAAGCTGGTGGGTCGTGCCCGAGCTCGGTGCCCGTCCTTCGGGGAGCAGGCGCTGTGTGCGCGGCACAGCGGGCAGAGCCGCTTGGCAGCTCCGCTGCGGAGAGCGCTGCGCGGAGCGAGCTGGCTCCCGTGGCCCCCTGGCCGGCGTCACGGCCCTGCTGCGAGGAAAGGTGGCCAGGGCCCGGCAGGGACACGCCGCGCTCTCCTCTTTGTGCTGTGAATCGTGGTACAGGGTTCCCTTTCGGTGTCACCGTGCCGTGCTCCGGACCCCTGGGAGAGCGCTGCGCTGCAATGGAACATGAAGCTCTGGCACATGCAAGAGGAGCCCCGAATGAAGGCTAATACGCTTAAAGAAAGGCCCATGCAAGTGCAAAATGCTGGTTTTCGAGCAGAAGCTGCTCCACGGCACTGACCCTTGATGAACTTTGTCTTTCCCTGGTGTTCTTTGCGCCTGGTTTCTGGAAGATGTTTGTGCGCGCATCCGTTGGGTGGCAGGTAAACGGGGCAGATGTCACACAGAACTGCTCCCACGACTGCAGTGCCCAAGCACGAGCTGCCTTTGCTCTCCCTGCCCAGCAGCAGTGCTCCAGGTGCCAGGGAAAACGGTCTGGTCTGGGCGAACGCCAGCATCTTTGGGGAGTGAGAGGATCAACTCGGCTGCTTCGGGGCTCATGAGGCCTCGCGTTTGAAGCTCTCAGGTACAGGAAGGAGATGTCGGCTCTCGGAGCGAGAGCTGCTGTGTTTGAATTGTCCTAGGGGAAAGGCAGACGTTTGGTTCGGAGCGGATACAAAAGCCGGTCCTGCCTTGATCTTTATCCCGGGACTGCCACGCGTTTCCTGAGGGTTGCAGGGTTTCACCTGCATAGGAGGCGCAAGCGGGTGACCCGCCGTGCG